AAAGGTGTCTGACTGCAACCCGCAAATGCGAGTCTGCCCGTTTTTTTTCTCAAAGGGCGGACGGCAAGAGGTTAATGGTATACTTTAACTTCAGCTTTAAAATGAACCTAGCCTCGGATATTTTTCATATTCCATGCCTACACAGTCCCCATGGCCACAAAAGGGCGGACGGCAAGAGGTTAATGGTATACTTTAACTTCAGCTTTAAAATGAACCTAGCCTCGGATATTTTTCATATTCCATGCCTACACAGTCCCCATGGCCACCCCCTCCCCAATCACTGCAGGCTGCAATATTATAAATCGAAATGTTTATAGAAGCAAAGGAGTCTGAAATGCTCCTCTTGGGTCTAAAGTGGGTTTCTGCAGGCAGGAGGAAGCATCTCTGGAGTTGCTCATCAGTCTCTGGTGATATTCTTGCCGATTACCTTGCGATAACCTTCCAAAGCATCCTTCTGCTTTTCTAATCTTTTAAAGAGTTCAGAAAAGGAATTCTCCATAGAGTTCAAGTCATTCTGAACCTGCTGCTTCTCCTCCAAAACTTTATTTAGCTCTCGTTTCATCATTTCCTTCTGTCTTTGAGAGTCCGCTGTGTAAAAAAAAAAAAACATACCAACACACATTACAATATAGATGCATCTCATGTGAAGGCTCACACAGCTCCCTATCTGCAGGTTCCTCATTAGAACATTTGCATGCAGCACACCTGATCCTGCACCCCCCCCTTCTCCAGTCTGAGTGCTGATGTATAGGGGGAAACCAAGAGTCTGCTACCAAGTGAGAAATCAGATTGACACCAGTTGCATTTATACATTTTATCATTTGTAAAATCGAGCTGCATTAACCCTTTCGCTGCCAAGGACGTACGTCATACGGAGCTACAAAAGTGACAACACAGTGTGAAAACAATTTAACAGAAGTTGCTTATTTACAGTTTTGCGTACCGTAATTTTTTTACCTTTTCGCAAAAAAGGACAATTTCAAATTTGCAAATAATTGTTATTTATTAACCCAATACAGTTTTATCTTTTAGATAGTCAGAAAAATATTTTTTTTGAGCGCTGATAGTGATTTTAGTGTGTTATATCAATTAAATTGTGTATTTTTATTGGTTTAATATTAATTTGAGAAACATTTGCGCAATTATCGCAGGGCCTACAAATTTAGTATCACCATCTATTTATTCTACCGGGCCTGCGCTTTCAGAAAATATATGGTTTGGGGGGTCTTTTACAAACGCTAGCAACACAGCAGTTGAAAATCAAATCAATAGGAAAAAAATGCAAAAATGGCTTGGCCAGCTGATTTGAAAAATGTTCGAGGGCTTGGCAGCGAAAGGGTTAAAAAGGGTAATTCCACTTTCTCAGGTGATGTGGGGAAATGGAATCACCCCGTCCAATCTGGCCCCCTCTTCCATACTTGCCTTTGGCCAAATGCTCCTTCCCCTCTGTGGGTGCCGGTGTACTACCCATACCCTGAACATGGCAGAGCAGCTCTGCATTTAAAATTTTGCTTGCAAATGGCGAGCACTCATTGGGCAACACAGTGCACTAAACAATGAGAAGTGCTTGTTTGCCAGCACAGTGCGCTGACCAATGAGAATTGCTCCTCAGCAAGATGGTGGCCAGGTCACCGCGCTGACTAATGAGTGCATGCCATTTGCAAGTGAAATTCAAAATGCAGGGCTGCTTTTCCGTGTATGGAGTACAGGTAGTACACTGGGAGAGAAGGAGCATTCGACCAAAGGCAAGTATAGTACGGGTGGGGTAATTCCATTTCTCCTCACCCCCCAAATTCATCTAGGTAGGTGGAATTTCCCTTTAGTTTGGGCCACGTCTGGTATTCAGCGTTCAAGTGGTAAAAGCACAAAATATTGTACAAGAGAATGACTTCTAATCTTGATGCCACCTTATACAGAGAAAACCCACATCCAAGATGGTGTATACATTACCTAGTATTTGTGCAATTGTGCTTTCAAATTCAGCAATAATTTTCCTGCAATGTTAGAAAAGTCAAATCAGCAATTTGAGAAACCAATGCATTAAAGTAGCTGCAGTTGCATGTGAACCTCCATCTTCTATATAAATTCCAGCCTGTTTTATAGGCAGCTGAACAGTAAACAAAATTCATTTTTACTTTCTGGGGGGACAGGTTGGAATTAAACACTTCCAGGCCCATGAATGCAGGAGTTTCAGGTCACAAGTTTTTTGCTCCTCATTACAAATGAATGGGCATGCAACTCCATGGCAGGCCAGATGTGCATGTAAAAAAAAAACCGCTGATGGGACCTGTGTCTCATAATGACCTCAAAATCAAGTTGGATGCATCTGAATGCTTGCTGCATCTGTGCACACCCATGAAGGTTATGTGCATGCAACGCATAGTTTTACTATTTTCTGTAATCTCCGCTTCTTTAAATAATCCTATATGTTCCATTTTCCATGTGGGTTGAGTGTCAAAAAATTACAAGTGGGCTTTTGAGGGATTCTGAACAAACCAATGCTAAAAAGAACATGGAAGAGGAACAGGGTGTTATTTTGCTGACTGAAGTTGCCTGGCTGTTATGGTAAACCTCTGGCTTCAACACATTTGAATTACTGAACTTTTTCAACATGTGTGTGCCAACATCAGCATGCGTGTCCCTGATTATAGAAGTGCGGCATCATGACAGACAAGTGACATTTGTACAGGCTTTCTGCGCTATGTGTATGACAAAGGACTATATTTCCCACCCTTATTTAGCTTTGCTTCAAGTAGTGAGATTAAGGGGTTGATTTACTAACCTTATAAACACACCACGAACGTGTATACACCTCTGCAGTGTGTTCCCTCCCAGCATGATCTATGGGTGGAATCTAAACACCTTTGTAATGTGTACACACCCAGCAGGTGTGTTGTGCAAAGCCCTGAATGAATTCCAAGGTGATGTTGTGTAAATTAGCTCTATGTTGTGTTGCTTGCGTTGATGAATGCAGGAATGTAAATGCATGAGCTAACCATTTTTGTCTAAACTGTGAAGCAGCATTATATATGCATCATGTGCATGATTTTTCCATATATGGCATTAGTGGAAATATGCTTTTTGGTTGATAAATACGTTTTGCTGTGTGAAAAATCACACACACCTGTTGTGTGTGTTTGGGTTAGTCACCCCCTAAGAGTTTGAAACTTTCTGCCCCCCTCTCGTCCATCAACTGCATGACCCAATGCCATCCCAACACCTGTGCAAAATGTCAAAACCCTGAAGTTACTACTTTTAGATGCATCTGCCACAATGAGCAATGAAAGCAAAAACAAATGGATCTCCAATGCCACATATAGAGGGCTGATTTATAATAACAGTATGCTACTTACCCCATTTCCACATATTCGAGGTAGAGTTTTTCATGCTTATTTTTCCATTCTAAAACCTCCAAATCTTTTTCCCGAACCTAAAAAAAAAAAAAAAAAGTGTCAAGTTTAGCACTTTGTAAAGTAGTCAGGCATGACGAAGCAAAGATCATGAAGGCAGTTTACCAATACAGAAGCAGATGGACTACTATGCAGAACTGCTCCAGATTCTGTCAGCTTCTATCTTCAGCTTGCTCAAAGAACTCCAGATTTATTAAAGTTAACCCTTGCAGTAGGGCTACCCACTACTGCAAGGTTTAAGTGCTTGTTTTGGTCCAGAGCGAAACTAAAAGATACGCTCACCTGATCCTGAGCTCTGCGGCAGTGACGCTCACCTGTGCCTCTGCTCTGGCAGTGAAAATATCCCTCAACATCCTCCTGTCTAGATGTGATGACATCACAGGTCCTTAGACCAACAGAGCCTGGGGAAGAAGGGGGCTGCAGGGGCCAGTCTAGCAGGCAGGTGCGACCAAGGATCAAGTGACTATTTTCGTTCCTACACCAAAATTGGTACTTAACCCTTGCAGAGGAGTTTTGAAAATGAAAGCTAGAAGCTGATTGGATGAAGACTGGAGCAGCTGTGCACTGCAACCAATTTATCCTCATGCGCATAAGCAAGTGACTGCTTTAACTGACAGACACAACCTTCTCCAATCATCCAACATTTTAGCATCAGTTTTTAGATCCGAAGATTTCTCAAACATCTAGGGAGATGTGGCAAGTCATGAGGAGCTTCTGCAAAGTCAAAGTGATACTAAGCTCAGGCATTAAAAAAAATAAAAAAAAGCATTCAGGTACCTTAAACACGTTATTTGTGTATCACTCGGATGTAGAGCCTCAAATCTCTGAATTGGTGCTGACACTGTCCTTCCTTCTGGAGGGCGGCTACTTTTGTTCCCCATGGTCCCTGTGTGTGTTGTAAAGTAGTCACCGCTCCAAGCTCACTCCTGTGATGGACTACAATCTCACGTTTAGTTTACCGATTTGTATTGAGATTGTAGTCCATCACAGGAGTGAGCTTGGAGCGGTGACTACTTTACAACACACACAGGGACCATGGGGAAACTGTAGTAGCCACCCTCCAGAAGGAAGGACAGTGTCGACACAAATTTAAAGATCTACATCCAAGAGATACATTCTTGTAAATAGTTAAAGGTACTTTATTGCATTTTTAAGCATTAATGCCTCAGTGTCACTTTAATGTAGTACCATCAGCTCAGGGCTCATCAATGGAGTCAATTTTGTGATGAGGCCACAGCATCTGTGCAAGTTCTTTCAAATACAGATCTCCAGTGATTTGAGAAATAGTTTATCCTTTCTTGTACAAAATGTAGCTACACATGAACCTTTGCTTGTCAAATGCCTACTGAATGAAACTTCCTGTGAAAGGACCACTATTGGGGAGAGGTTTTATGGTAGACCACCAGATTTGTTTAGTCTTGTTTTACCACGTGCTCCATTCTTGCACAGCATCACAAGTGAAAAGATAAACCACCCTGATAAATCAAACGGTGCTGGTCTGGGGGGATCTCATGATATCGTAACCACTGCAAACTGGAGTGAATCTCCATGGCACCATGCACTTTGAAACCAGAACATTTACTGCCTAATTGGATAGAATATTGGTCTTGCAAATGTAAGAGTGCTTCTGCAGTCTCCCAAAGTGGTATGTCCGACGCATACACTGGTCCTGCCGCAGGGCCCCAAAGGACCCCTTTGTTAGGCTGCAAAAGGCAGGATTTGCCCCTGACATTATACACACACACACCGTCCTATCCCAGCTTCCAGTCACCAGAAATGACCCCTTTATGAAGACACAACAGGCAGGATGGCTTCCTGTCCCAATCGTAATGAATGCTTATGCCAAAAAGTACAAACCTCACTGCTGCAAATAGTTATGATTTAAAAACGCACAGTCTGGTTATATTAAATCCATTTAATTCATCATAGCAAGGCACTCACCTCTAGCCGGACAGTCTCTATAGCTGCATCCATGTCCTTCTGGCTGAACTTGAGAACCTCAACAATTGCCCCCACATCAGGCGGTAGGAGGAAGGGGTCTGGAGCAGATCGGAAACCTGTACTGTCTGGAATTAAAGGAGCTGTGTCCTGGGGAAAGGGAAACGTATTCAGACAGGTCTGCTGTAAAAGTAACTGAACACCTCACCGGAGTAGCTACTGTTTAAATAACTTGTTACTACAGCAACTAAGAACAAAAGGAAAGCCGTACAGACAGGAGAAATGTGAAGTGACAGCAATGACCAGCAAAGTCTAATTCTACTGCTCATGTCAGCATTTGTCCCTCAAGTACTAACTGAAAAGACAAGATTTCTATAGACTCGTCCATAAAACACATCTCAGGTCTCAAAACTGGTGGAAGCCACATGTATGAGAAAGTTACACTCCCAAACGCCAAGTACAATACAACCAATTGCTCCCTTTCAACTGACTCGTTCTACAGGCAAGATAGCTTGGTTGAAGGGTGTGAAACTTGCATCTTGTAGAATATGTCAAAATTATGCAACAATTTACATAGATTTTGTTTCCCTTGTATTACATTTAGCATTGAAACAGCCATTCTGGATCAAGAGACCCATACTAAGGATAGTACTGTGCAGCTACCCCAAACCCAGAGACCAGGCAGACCAAGAGCCAAGGAGATCCAAAAGGCACCCAGAGAAGTCTCTGAATCTGCCTGTATCCTGCATAATTAAGAAAAAGACCCACACACTAGAAACTGGTTACACAAGCAAGTTCTAAGTTGGCCATAATGACGTTGGGACAGTACTCAAACTATGGCAGTTGTCCAGGACATGCAGAACCTGCAGGCACTTTAAAAGCAAAGTTGGCACAGAACTTACAGCTACAGTGAATGTCCCCAGGAGATCGAGGCCTCTGGGTTTCTCTTCAATCTCCAGGTTCAAGGCGGAGGGGTGTGCTGATTGAGGAAAGCTTCCAAAGAACTCCAAGCTGAAATAGGAAGAGTCATTTATTAAAAACTTCTCAATCAGGAAAAACAAGGAGCAGATGGTGCGGCACGTACCTGTTGCATTGAGGTAAGCCGCTCATCAGGTTGTCGTCTGTAGTCGCAGACTTCTTAGGAGACTCTCGCAGCAGAGGGTCAAATTTCAGAAACAAGGACTGTTTCCTCAGAGCAGAATCTTTGAACTTAGAAAAAAAAAAAAAAGAGAAAAGCCACATGAGCTTTGTAAATACCAAGTTCCATATGGTAGAACAATTTAATAGACTGACAAGGATGTAAATTATGTATGGAGGAATTCTATGAACAGGTGAGGCATACAAGAGAAGAAGAATTCAAACACTTACAGAAGCCATGCCAAAGTTCTCAAGATAGTCAATTTCTATTGGCTGGTCAAATCCAACTGTAAAAACAAAAAATTGCAAAGTGTAATTTAGCAGCTTTATAAATCTGAAATACTTTGTAGGGTAGTAATAAAATGGTGCAAGGATGGCAGGGTGGTAAGAGCCTGTACATCAATGTATAAACCTTTGACAGACACACACACAGTTTACATTACCGTGCAACATCTCTATTTTTTTGTAATTTAATTTCTTTAAGGGCAGATCACCCAAAAGGTGAGAATAGGACATGGCTGCGTAATGCAAGTCAACAATACTGTAGTCACCATTGCAAAAGCATACAACATTGCAAGAGAACGGAGTACAGGGACAGAGCACCTTCATGGGGAGAACCACCATGTATTTTACTGAAAGATGCAGAATTAAAAATATTGAGGACTTGAAATTACACCGCATTAGGGCCACATTCACAAAGGAATCGCACAGCTGCGTGCACAGCCATATCGGGCAGCTGCAGGGAAGGAAAGTTGCAGCGTGTGATTAGTACGCAGCCCCTGTCCTATATGGGACTACGACGTCAAATGCAGGTCCGTGCGGGTGCGCGTTTCCTTGTTCCTGGCAAGGAAGTGCAGCGTGGGTGAACGTAGGGCGGCATACGGCCACGTATTCCCATAGAGAAGGACAGGGGCTGCGTACTTTTTTTTTATCACATGCATCACCTGTCCTTGCAGGGAGCTGCCCGATACAGCTGTGCACGCAGCATGGAGCTGTACGTGCCCGCCGATTGCCATGTGAATGGGGCCTCAACTCCAGGAATGTTTTTTGTCAATACAAGGGTTACGTGCTTGTTTGCATCAGAGAGAAAGAAAAAAAAAAAATTGAATATATCCCCCAACAACACACACACCTGTGCCTTCCAACATCTCTCCCCCTCTGCAGCGGTCTAAAATCCCATAAATCACATCTATACACTCTGTATAGTAGTAAGGAGGCAGAGGAAGATTCCAAAGCTGCAGGGAGGGGGCACAGGCTGGAGGGAGCGCTTTGACAGCTGGCTCGAAACTTCGGATGAGTAGAACTTATTTTAGCACCTAGACACAAACGAGCACTCGACCCTTGCAGTACGGTGTAGCCGCCTGACACTTCTCACTACCCAGCGAGACGGATCCTACAGCCATCCAGCTCCATGCTCGCTCCCCCACAAACATTCACCATCCACTGCCTATGGAGTATTGACGGAGCAGAGCGGCTTCCCCGACCTTTCTTCTGCACAGCCGCCAGGACTCAGCCTGGCCAGCTGAGTCTTGACAGCACCTGACACTACCAACACATCCAGTGCCTAGCCCGTTCCCAGCTGCGGCCGCCTGACGCCATATCCAGCCAGCAGCTCCTCGCGCTCAGATTTCAGAGCAGATCTCCATCGGCCAGCACTATCATCCATTCTTCCATCAGAGATTACCTACTCACCTACCACCTCCATCTAACAGGGAGTCACTTTTCACTCTTTCATACATGCCCTTTAGGACTTACACTATTAATTACATTAAGAAAAATGTGAAAGCAACAGAAAAATAATACATGTAGTAGAAAACCAGCTGCACTCCTTACCGGAATAGTAGTAAACCTGCAAAGCAGCGACCACGGACGGCACCATAAATAATGCAAATATAGTAAAGATTGTCACCAGCACACCAAAAGGTTTTGAAGCAAGAAGTCCTCCGAGTCTGATGAAGGGGTACTACCGAGACCCCGAAAGTGCTTGTACTGAATGGCAATTTGTCATTAAAGGACTTCTTTCTTCAAAACCTTTTGGTGTGCTGGTGACAATCTTTACTATATCAACAGAAAAATAAGGCATGCAAAGAAAAAAAAAGGCTGCAAGTATCCATAAATATATGTTTGTAGATTGCCACATTCCTAAAAGGTGCCTTTTTTTAAGAAAAGGGTGAAGCTCCCCTTTAAATACGCATTTACACCTTAGCACTGCGGTAACGCGTGGTAATCTTGTGCATTACTGCAGTGCACGGTACCACACAAAGCACAGTGCAAATCTACAGAATGCACCAGTGTAACACAATGGCAGATAAAAGATACCTCCATTGGCCAGCCACTGAATTCATGGTTCTCAAAAACATTTGAGCGCTTACTACTTTACCATATAACAGAATTTTAGCCAGATTTACTCACTCAGTGGGAAAGTTAAGCAAGCAACTACTGAACATGACCCGTCATGCAAATCTTATTGCTAAAAGGTTTTTGCGTAGCTTTTAAAAATCTACAGTTCACAATTAGAACTGTGTCACTTCTGCACAAGTCTATTCTACTTGCAACATGTTGCTCTCAATGCAAAAGTTAGATGGGATCATTCATTTTAAACTGGTGCAGTGTTTCATCTGGCCACAAGGTGGCAGCATTATAAAACACTTCACTTGTTTGCCTGATGAAGGGGATCCTGCGAGACCCCGAAACGTTGCATCTTGTGTTTTGCATTTGCAACAAGTACGTGAATAAATAGACGTACTGGATTTGCTTTGGAGTGCCGGTGTCCATCTTTTACTAGCATTATAAAAAAGCCGCAAACCAATGCTGGGCTGCAATGAATCTCAGAATCAGAAAGCCTCCCTCTTTCTATTGACAGCCGACAACCACCGAGAGAAAATGGAAGGCAACTGGCTGAAGGTGACTTACATTCAGTAGCCGGCTTAAATTCCATCTCCTCGGCTGGTTTAAAGTCCAGGTCTAAGGCAACATTGAAATCCATATCCAGTGCTCCAAGCTGAGTGTTTGAGGCAGTCTGAGAATCTGGCAATACAGCTTTAATCTGCGAGGGATTTTCATCAATGACTGAAGAGGTTTTATCCTCTTCAACTGTATTCACATCAGTGCTCTCATCCTAAAACCAGAAGAGGTGACAATAGTAAGTGGGATTGTACATAAAGTAATCCAGGGTAGAGCTGAAGAAATGAGGAATACAGCAGTACCTTGTGTTCCTCAGAAGTATTCTCGCTGCTGACACTCACAGATTTGTCCTCCGTCAGGGTGGAATCTTGGAGAGGCCTGGAACATTCAAGCAGAATTTAATTCAGACCTTAATATCTAGCCCCAGCATATGCTTAGCCATCCGAAGGGTGACTAGATACTACATATTTGGAGATGGTGGTACATTGAGAAATTATCAATTCTCACAAAGAAAGTGGCGTGCCGCCTATACCAATATCAAGGATAAAGCAGACGTGGACAAATTAAAGTCTACCTGATGCTAGATCTTCTCATTTTAAATGCATTCCTGCTAAATATTGTAGGCGTTAGACTTCAAAGTACCACCTTCCCCCAACATGCCTTTATCAGCTTCTTTCTCCAGGCACCATTTTGCGGAAGCCTCATTCAAGGCCAGCACCTGGTTCTTGACTATGGTCACACACACACACACACACACACACACACACACACACACACAATGCAGATCAGCCCCTGGTACAGCCCAAGTGATCGGTGTGTGAGAAGAGATTGGCAAAAGTCATCGTTGCCGTAGAAAAAAAACATGGTCTCAAATTCCTCCCATCAGTCTAAGCCGTTATCTGCCTAGAGGAGAGGACTACTTAGATGGTAAAGTGCATATTGTTAACAAGTACCCATTGTGACATGGCAGACTTTTTAAAATGCTAGCTAGGACCACTTTAACCCCTTCACGACTGACGTACAGTGTAAGTCGCCAGCATCGGGGCCGTTTAAAACAGACTCCCGGCGGGTTTTAATCTTGTAAAGTCGACTTTACAATAACAGCAATTCTGGCAACTCGGTTGTCGCCAGATGGCTTCTATGGCCCGGTGAAGGATCCCCACTTCAATAGCTTATTTGCAGTGTAAAGGTGACACTCACAGTCTTTAGGACCCCCAGCATCACCTTAAAGAGTACCTGTCACCACCATCTGCTATCACATGGGGGGCTTGTAAGCCCCACCTATGTGATAGCAATCAAAGTAAAAAAAAAAAAGTTTTAAAGTCCACCGCGAGCACGTAAACACGCGTCGGGTGTGCCTACGTATGAAAACGAAGAAAGCGCTACACATTTTGGGAATCGCAGCGCACGCCGGAGTGAGAGCAATAATTCTAGGGCATCTCTAAATTGATTACCTGTGGGGGCTTTAAAACGTTGTCTATGGACTTTTTGGGGTAATTAAGTTTGCCGCCGTTTCACGGCCGGGCATGTTGGGTATTTACCCGTAACCTCATCTTTTATATTTTATTAAAACAAATGGGTATTTTTATTGTGTTTTGGGGCATTTATGTACATTTTTCACTAAATTTAGGAGTTGTGCTAATATCGTGCAACATAAAAATTTGCAACTGCCACTATTTTATTCTACAGAGTCTTGGCTTTCATAAAATATAGAATGTTTGGGGGTTGGAAGTAATTTTCAGGCCTAAAATGTGGAATATAACATGGGTGCAAAAAATTAAAAAAAGCCCTCAGTCATGAAGGGTTTGAAGTGACCCTGTCCTACCTTACCCAAGCATGCACTATTCCCACATAATGGAAGCCTGCATCAGATTAGGTAGCCCTCAATTTACTCTGGAGTTTGGTTCCTAAGGGAATGGTTGTAAATAGAAACCAGTGTAAATTAGAAACCCAGTATATAATGCAAGTCAATTGGAAGGGAGTTATGTTCCAGACCTCCTCAATTTACACAAGTATGAATGCACCAATACTAGTTTTTCGGTATCGATATTCAGAGTTAGGACTTACCGGTAACTCCATTTCCATTAGTCTTCCAGGACAGCATCACGAGATGGAATCTCCTCCCCCACACACAGGAAACACGTCACATCTTTCAGTACTCCCCCTATACCAAGTACCAGTTTCCCGGCCAATCAGGATGCTGGGTCATTAATTGCGGCCCAGCTTCCTGATCGGCTGGGAAGCCGGCTCGATGCTAATTGGCCGAGGAGCCGGCTTCCCGGCCAGGAGAATACGGCCAATTGGGAAGCCAGGCCGTGAGTCATTACCCGCGGCTTGGAAACCCGATTGGCCGGGAAGCTGGCTACATGCTCCCTCGCGGCACTGCCGGTCACAGGAAATCTCCCTCTGACCGGAAGTTGATAGTCATCTCGATTACCGAAGCATTTGGGCAAGTACGAGTACTCGGCCCAAATACTCAGTATCGGCACCGGTGCATACCTAGACATAAGTAATAAAATACAGGTACATTATATTTAAAGCTGCTGTCTGAGCTCACACAAGGAGCTTGAAATAAAAACATACCTGTATTAGGTTATTTCAATGAGAGGCCTGGAACCCAACTACCTCACTTCCCATTGACATACATTACATATTTGCATTCAATCTACAACACTCCCAGAAAACAGTGCCATTTTGAATCAGTGCTAATTGAACCGTTGTAAAGCGAGGGTCACCTGTATTTAAAAGCACATTATGGCAACAAGAAACAGTTACTTATGCTGCAGCCAAGTAGAGAGGAGCCCACCCATCAGACCCCTAAATCATAAGCCCACCAGAAGTAACTACCTGTAATGCTTTCTAATTAGGTCATGCCAGCCAAGAGCTTCAAGTCATTCAATGAGGGGTTTGTAAAGTATACCATTTGAAGTCCCTACCAAGTAAGGAGTTAAATAAAAGTAGAAGTCTGCCAAGGTTGTCACCTTGGGAGAGGCCATGGCCGCACAACCAGCATTGTGAAGCTTTGTGGTAAAAGGTGGAAGCATGCAAAGAGCATGGAATGCGTTTTTCAATTAATGCAAAGTAAACTACTCAACAAAAAACAACCAAAGATCAGAGTTCCGATGCTATAGATGGTACTTACGTCTCAGCTGGGTCAGAAACTGTGGATTTATTGGCTTCAGTCTTTTCTGCAGCTGCGCTCTCTACTACAGGTAGAACATCCTCTTTCTTCACAATTGGAGCTTCGCTGTCAATCTTGGGGACTTTAGGTGAGGCAACTATTTTTGATCCCCCGCATCCAAATGGGTTAAAATTAGGATCCTCAAACTTATTCCAGTCAAAGTTGTAGGAAACTTTAGGAACAATAACATCCTCCTCCGGTGGTTTTGGATGATCCTGCTCCTTTGGTTTCTCATGTACTGCTTCCTTAGGCACAACTGGCTTTTTGGCTGCGGTTTTTAGAGGTGGTCTCTTACCCAGTTTTTTAGGTGGTGGCTTAAGAGGAGCATCGCCACCTCCAAAATCAAATTCAAGCTTCACTGGCTCCGCTTTATCATCATTACCTTCTCCTGAGACAGGTTTTTTGGGAGAGTTCTGCAGCTTTGAACCTCCAGTGTTAAATGGATCCATGGAATCAAGTTGATCTGGATCAAATTTGTAAGACCCTTTTGGTAATGGTGGAGAGCTTGGAACATCAGGTTGTGGTGCTTCTACACCCTCAGTGGTAGAAGCAGGTATCACATCAGCTATAGTCTCTACTCTACCAGCTTCCTTCTCATCTGAAACGGTATTCTTTTTGGCTGCGGTTTTTAGAGGTGGTCTCATACCCAATTTTTTAGGTGGTGTCTTAAGAGGAGCATCGCCACCTCCAAAATCAAATTCAAGCTTCACTGGCTCCGCTTTATCATCTTTACCTTCTCCTGAGACAGGTTTTTTGGGAGAGTTCTGCAGCTTTGAACCTCCAGTGTTAAATGGATCCATGGAATCAAGTTGATCTGGATCAAATTTGTAAGACCCTTTTGGTAATGGTGGAGAGCTTGGAACATCAGGTTGTGGTGCTTTTACACCCTCAGTGGTAGAAGCAGGCATCACATCAACTAGATCGTCTACTCTACCAGCTTCCTTCTCATCTGAAATGGTATTCTTGTCTTGATCAATTGCTGTTGATTTTGATAAACTCTCCTGGACATCTGTGTCAGCCGTCAGGGGAACAGTGTCATCTAATCCCGATTTACCAGATGTATTTAAAACCTCATCTCCTTGGGCAAACTGTACAGTGACCGGAGAATCGGTTATATCTGGACTAGCTCTCAAAGCTGCTAAATTCTCACTGACAATACCAGCACTGTTAGCAGAGGCCTCAGACAACTCTTTAACCTCTAGATCAGCCAGTGAATCTGGGACATTTGTGGAATCAAAATCTGGTTTTACAGGAGAATTCTGCATCTTCTTCGTACTTTTGAATGGATTAATCTCATCCAGCTTATCAAAGTCAATGCTATAGGCACCATTGCTTTTTACTGGGGCTTCATCTTCAGGGTGGGATGGGGGATCTTTTGAGAGTGTTGTTTCTTCTGGAACTATACTGTTGGGGAAATTAAACACATACTTCAGCAGATTAACATAAATGATCCTACAAAACGTGGCAATTAAAAAAAAAGGACACTTAAACAGGACACAAAGTTACAAAAAGCTGAACATGCAGTTTAAATACAGAAGAGTGAAAAGTTATAGCTGCCAAAAGATTTGCAAGTCAGCTCAGCTAGTCTGGTGATGCCAGAAAACTTGCAAGCACTACAATATGCAGGCACCCTGTAGTGCACACAAGTACCCCTGTGGGCTCTCAATTACTGTGGATAGCCACGTATCGCAGGCTGTATATAGAATTTAGGAGAGGCAGGAATCGGTTCCAACCTAGAAGGCTGTAGAGATCATGCACAAATCTGGAAATTGTACTTTTGGGCAAAATGCAAAAAGTACCGTCTTTCGGCTGAAATTGTGGTGCATCCATGATTTCTCTCCTCCCCGCTGGGCAGCATCCAGTGGAAAGGAGAGAAACTGTCAGGAGGCCAAGCGGGCCGGGGAGGAGAGCGTCGTCATCAATAGTGTCACAGGAGACAGAGCTCCTCCCGCACCACCCTGCTCAGTCTCCTGCGACAGATAGCATGGGGAGCAGTGTAGGGGCGGAGATTGCTGTTAGCTGTCACAAGAGGCTGGGCCGGTGGTGTGGGGGAGGAGTCAGCTGTCAAAGTAGACAAAGCTTTCCTCCCACACTGTCAGAATGGAGAGCGGTTACAAGCATTCAGCTGCTTGTAAATAATTGAGATATGTTTACTGTGAGCCCAATTATGAATGAATAGGAAGTGCTCTACATCACTTCCTATTCATGCATGATTGTGGACATGGTAAATATACTATCTCCACAAGTTATGAGTGGACAGGAACACCAGTGTTCATTTCGTTGAAGAATTTTGTTTTTAACGAACTAAAACGAAATTGATAGAGAATCGTTCTCATCAACTATTTGCAGCACTGCCACCGCTGCTCTGCTCGTCCATTCTCTTCCCCGCTGGTGCTGGCTGCAGCAGTCTGTGTCCCTTTCAATCCCCGCTGCTCTCCCCACCTGTATTGGTAGAGGCAGCAGGGAAACAGACTGCTACAGCCGGCACCAGTGGGGAGGAGAGACCAAGGGTCTAAAAGAGAACTTTTCACCTCCAATGTGCCATCACATAGGGAGCTTGCGGTTTCAAAATGTTTCGGTGCAGCCCTAGTTTTTATATAAACATACACCATTTGCATGAATTGATTTTAGTTTACCTGGAGCTTTAACTTTAAATAATGCAAAATATTCTACACAAATGTGGATTGTGGGATGTTTAGTCTTCACATAACGATTCAAGGTTTGTACTATAACTTGCACCCATCTGTCCAAGGTGGTTTTTATCTTCTGGAGACCCCAGGAAAACATCTCTACAGGCAACTCCGAGCTCCACCTGCCACATACTTCACATGGATCTTTATTCGCCCTTCCCCAACAATAGAGAAGTACAATGACAAAGGAGCTGCCAATGCTCAGGAGAGGAAGAAGAAAAAAAACGAAAAAAAAAAAAAAACAGACCACACCATCTAGGAGTGGTCCATGCAGGAAGCTGGGACCAGGCAAGTAAATCTGCTTTATTCAAACCCTTAGACCAAAACGAGCACTTAACCCCTTGCGGTGCAGGGGTAGCCAAGTGTTCTTTAAAAGTGAGGCCCTGCAGTTTATGGAGTGGCAAAAGAAGGCAATGTGAGCTGCGCTGGGTTAGATCATACAGTTAAACCAATACTCGGTTCACACCCGGTATTACAAGTAGCTCTTGTGAAAACGTTGAAACAGTTACCAGTTTAATGAAAATACTAAATCTCATCCTTCTATCTGGATTTTAGCGCAGTCACTTATAATTGAAAAGTAGCACTTCAACGTTTTCTCCTTGCAGTTATGTTCTTTATGAAATTGTATAGTCTGCATTTGTCAAGCCCACAATAGCCTCTATACCAGATGTCTCCCATTTTATACTTCCTAAACCTATAATTTAAGCTTCACAAACTGTCTTTGTTCAACTGCAAAAAGTTAGTTATGTTTTTAACACCCCACCCATTGTTTAACCCTTGGATAGGATACCATAGGCCACAACTTCTCTTTGTAAAACTGAACCTAAAAAGCAAAAAGTTTTATCCTATTAAAAACAAAAAGCTGCCAGATCAGCGCTGTACTCTCAACACTTCCGGTCTCAGCTGCGCGTGAGATCAAGCAGATCAATGCTGTGCTCAATCTTCAGTAATGGAGGGCAGGGTCGATAAGAGAACCAATCACATAGGGGCTTGTTAATATTGGAAATGCAACAGCCTACAGATTTGTATTGCGCACATTGAGATGCAATATTGTCTTTTGAGCTCTAGGTGGCAGTATTGGTCTCTATGCTTAGGCATGTTTGTCTATGATCTATAGATTTCCTGTTGATGCTGTATTACATACATGCAATGTCCTAAGCATGTAAAACTTAACTCAGCATTCCTCAAGATCAGTGCTTCATCTAAAAACACATAACCAACAGTTCACCCCATTCCACTGTGTGCCATATTGTGGTAGCCGGGCAGCAGCGCTCTCCAACATGCACAATGTGCATTAAAGGGCAAGTTACTTTCCCCAAGTAATTTTGGAAATTCTCCTAATACTTAGTCATGCCTCCTGATACCCACAGCTTGACCTCCTACACCTCAGTGGCCAAAAGTGTTGCTGTCTAGCAGGGCATGGTCACCAAAATCAAAGTTAAGCCCCTCAAGTGAAACCAAGATCAGGAGGTGTGCACAGAAAATACTTTCCTATGGAATATGGCTTTACAGCTTAAGATGTCTGACCCATTTACCTTAAGCCCACCCACAATTAAAACTACTGAAAAACAGTTATTGCAAATAAAACGGGATGCATGTATGATCACCATAGAATACAGCTAAAGAAAGCCTGCTACAGACCTCCAGTCAGATTAGCTTGTAGCCCCAATAATGGAAAATCTCATGGCCGTCTATGGCTGACCCAGCACTATAGCAGCCTCGCAACCCTTTTACCCCAAAAGAACCCCAAAATTATTCAGGTCTCAGAAACCAGATAGAGAAGAGGGAAAAAATAAATGGCATCAGGGATCGTTGGGAAAATGCCCCTTACATTGGTGGTCAGTGGGGAGAACGCCCCTATTACAGTGTTGCTCAAAAGCTAAAGAGATCATTGGCATCTTGCCACTGGCAGTTAACCCAGAACTACGCAGGCACCAACAGATAGGAGGTCAATCAGCCACACTTCAAGGAACCCCTACCAACCTCTGGAGGAACCCTTTAACTGCAGAAGCCTGGTTGAGAATGTCTGGACAAAAGAATTACTTTTGGTTAAAGCAGCTCAGAACAATCAAAGTAGTATAAAAGAAACAAAAATGGTATAGATGTTTACCTGGAAGCATCAGCTGCAGACAGATGAAGCTGCTCCAGTGCCTGTGTACAGTTCTCCAGCAAGAAGAGACTGTCTGGTTTACTGCTCAGACCGGAGTTTACAATTCTGTGAGTCTGAGGGTCCCGCATTGGAGTCTGGAAAGTGACCTGGAAAACAGAATGATGCATTCACTGCAAACAGCACATGTGTGACTAACAGCTTCCTGTGCAGAGAGCAGACGACCTCTCCCAGCTCAGAAAACTTCATTCACTTCCAGCAAAGTTTGTGCTACACGCCTACAGTCACAGCCCTGAGATCGTGCCGTGTCAAAGAACAGATTTCACATACAGAACGTACCTTCATGCCTTTGCTAGGGCTTTTGGGAGGTAGATTATCTTTCTGTGAAGGACGGAGGATGGAGGGTCTGCCGGTAGGCTGAGGAGGAGTAAACAGGAAGTCACACGTCTCAGCTGTTATGTCGATTGAGAGATTTTCATCATTTAGAGCTTGCAGACTCATTCTGGGGAGGAAAAGAACGAAAAACCAGCATGATTTTGGGTGGTGGAAGCCAGTTACAAAAACACACACTCAAAAAAGGACCAAATAAAGCCAGCAGGGAGGGGAACTATACATCAAGAACAGCCATTACAAAGACTGGCTACACCACAGAAACGTGTGCACATTACAGGTTGACGAGTAATAAAACAGGCCAAAGCAGGAGGCAAATACAAAATGTCCTTTTTCGAAGGTTGATCATGCAAAACCTAAATAACAAGTTCATCTTCAGCGTGAAGTCAGATGTGTAATTTAATCCGGGTGTCCAACTTAACCCATCATGCTTACATAAAAATCTCAGACCAACCCACACCCATTGCACTACATACATAAAAATCCCCTCAGCCCAACCCGCACCCATTGGACTGCACTGGACTACAGTTACATCCCCAGTGTAAGCCTATAGGACTTTAATGTGCAGGTAGCCTGGCACTAACCAGACTGCCAACCGCAGAGATGCTGCAACTGGTACACCGTTGATTGCATTAAAATTTTCATGCAAACTTGAACCTTGTACTTTAGAGCAAACCAGTTCCAAGTAATACTTATGGTTTAGGTCGGGGTCGGACAAATCCCAGGAGCCAGGTAGCCAATGCTCCCTAAAATTACAGCTGGTGTCTAACTTGAGGTTCTCTAGTCATGAATGAAACAGTCTCTGAAGAGAAAATCCTGCTAACCCCTGGATTGGACTGACTGGCTCCTGAATTCTAGAATATTTGGCCACTCCTGGTTTAATCTAATTGCTGTTGCTTGGAAAACCTCATCCAGCCCGGCCACAGATTACAGCATGCCAAACCACTTACAAATCCATAAGAAAGAGGAATAAAGCAGAACTTGTCATGGGACCCAAGAAGGTGGCAGCAGAGGGGCTGAAGAGATGAGGGTGAACATAATGTTTGCTGGGACCAATTGAGACAAATTTTATTTAGAACTGTACAGAAAGTGCAAAGTCAAACAAGGTAGTCTGCTGTAACCAGGGCAAACGCTGCTCCTAAAAATGCTGTACTTCATACTGCCCTCAGACCCTTGAGTCGCTAACCCAGAACTACATGGATCAAAAACAACAAAGTAGTATGGCCAAACTTTTTGCCTATTCCCTTTTGAGTCACTGGAGTACATTTAATAATGTACCTCTATGATCTAGTCAACTGAACCTCCAGCCAGTGGCACAAAACACTAGGGGAGAACCAAAGCCTACCAAGGCCACAACTACACAATCCCCAACATGCATCAGTGTGGAATGTACCAGTTGGAGAACCTTTCACAATGCATTCCCACATACCTATACAAAAGGAATTAAAAAAAGAAAAAAAAAAAAAAAACTGCAAAATATAAAACACTCTGCCCTAGATGATCCAATTAAACATTCACACAGCATTCCTGATCCTCCAAAATGGAGTAACAAAAAAAACCCCCACACACAAAGATCTCACCACTAGAGCCCCAAAGACAAAAGCAACAAAAATGACAATCAAGCTAGAAGTATTACTTCTACAAATGCCAGCGCGGTAGCTGATGGAACGCACCGCGATCGCTGTGAAACTTCGCCCTGTGTTTTGGGGGTGTGGCGGTGCATTGTATTCAATGGCACCGCTTCCACACACCCCCACCCGCAGTGCGATCGAACGCGTGGCATAACTTTGCCAGCGTTCCGTTTGACTGCAAAAAATAGGGCAAGCCCTATTTTTTGCATTTGCAGTCGAACGCAAAGCTGGCAAAGTTTTGCCATGCGTTCGATCGCACTGCGGGCGTGGAAGCGGTGCCATTGAATACAATGCACCGCCACCTCCCGCCCCACAACACACAGGGGGGGGGAGTTCACAGCGATCACGGTGCGTTACAGCAGCTACCGCTCTAGAACGCACACGCTTTCGGTGTGAACAAGCCCTGACAAAAAAAGACATGTTTAGGAGTGGTTTTACTTTTACTGAAGCAATAAAGCCAAACTCCAGGAATTCATTTTTAGGAATACTTTCACTGGTCCAGCTTGGCCCAATGCAAGTATACATATTTTATACCTAGTAGGGCCACAAGGATCCTGTAAAGCACTGTAGTAACCGACGCTGCTGGCCACAATCTTTCAGGTCCTGTGTGGCTCACTTGCTTGGCACATCGTCCATTTAGAGAACGCCTAGAATTTTTTGTCAATGACTAAGTCATCACTTCCACCCCCCCTCCCCCTTAGAGATGACAAAAGTTAACAAGCCGCTATGTGACCGGTTCTCTTTGGGGAGACACCAGGGGTCTGACTCCTGTCTCTCCTGCCCTCTAATACAGACCATCAAGCACAGGAATTGGCTTCATCTTTTTATCCGGAACCTCAGCCTGCCTCAGACAGTTGCATCAGGAAGCACAGAAAGCAGTGCTTGAGTTATCACAGAGCAGATTGGGGAACAGACATTCCCCAGTCTGCTCCCGCTCTCCATCCTGACATTGTGTGCCAAGGTCCTGGGCCCCACAGAGCAGCAAGGGACCTGAAAACCAGAACGGAGGGGTGCAGAGGGTCACCACAATAGTGGACTAGTACAAGTTATCTGGTTGGCTGTACAGCCACCATGACCCCTTGTAATTGAGGAGCTGGCCCGGCCTGATGTCACTGGTTGCTAGGAAGCCAGCAGTCCTAGCAACCAATGACTCAAGTGGAGGGGCCCGCACTGCATTATAGCTGGCAGTATCCACTGTCAGCCAGCACAGGTTGGTGATCACCGTCCGGACAGTACTGACACTTAGCGACTAAAGCAGGAGCCGAATCTACTTGTCCCAATACAAAAAAATTGTTTTATTCAAAAACTAGGGATGCCCCAATACCAGTTTTTGGATATCGAGTACAAGTACCGTTGGCATGGAGCAGGCTTCCTGGGCAATTAGGAAGCCGGAAAGCAGGTAATGACATGACCTGGCTTTCCGATTGCCAAGGAAGTAGACTCCATGTTTGGTGGGCTTCATTGCAATTGGACGGGAAAGCGGCTTCCCTGCCAATTAGTAAGCAGCTGGCTTCCTGGCCAATCAGGAAACCGAGAGACGGGTCCTTAGTCACTGCCCTGCTTCCCGATTGCATGGGAAGCTGGCTCCATGTTCCCCTACGGCACTGCCGGTCAGAGAAAATCTTCCTCTGACCGGAAGTTCCGGTATTGGGTAAGGAGGGTAAGGACTGTTCACCGAAAGGTAAATATAGGGGGGGGGAGAGGGGGGGTTGGGGGGGGGAGAGACCAGGCCAGATTTGATCGGGTAATTCCATTTTCCCATATTACCTGGGTAAGTGAACTTGCCCTTTCATGCACATTGTGTGTGTGAGTGAGTGAAAGTTCTGCTGCCTGGCTACTAGGGATGCACTGGTATTTTACCAATATTTTTTTTTCAGTACTCGCCGATACCGAATACCGGAAGTCCCATTCAGGAAGCCAGGTGGCGTGTAATGACTCTCCACCTGGCTTCCTGATTAGCCGGGAAGCCAGGCAACGTGTAAAGACTCGCCACCCGGCTCCCGATTAACAAGAAAGCCGTCCCATGCTTGGAGCCGGCTTTCTAGCCAATCATGAAAGCCGGGCGCCGTATAATGACGCTGCACCCTGCTTCCTGATTGGCCGGGAGGCCGACTCCATGCCTCAATGAGATGACGAGGGAGCATGAAGCCGGCTCCGTGGCCAAATCAGAATGCCGGGCGCTGTGTCATACGGCGCCAGGCTTCCAGAACGGCCAGCTTCCCGACCAATCAGGAAGCTGGGCAGCACGTCATTACACGCTCCCCGGTGGAATGGTGGCAGTACTCAACGCACACACAAAATCTCCTACGTGTGCGTTTGTTTGCATGAGGATGGCGGGAGCGACGGGGTTGGTTTTAATTATTTTTTTACTTAATCACATTTTATAACTTTACTTTTTTTTTTATTTATTATTTACTTCTTTTCCACTTAATTTTATTCCAATCACATAGGGGATTAAAGTCCCCTATGTGATAGTTGGGAGGTGACAGGTTCTTTTTATGGAACCTGCCCTCCAACACAGAACAGAGGTTCTGTGCAGTTCCTGACATCTGAGACAGGTGGCGCTGTGATTACAGCACTCCGGTCTCAGTAATCACACAGAGCAGACGAAGAACGGAAGTTCTTAGTCTGCTCTAGGGGCTCTATGGTGAGCTTCCGTGCTGTGGTCACGGGTGCCCCGGGGGAACGGGGGTCCCCGAACACCACCGCACCAGGGGGGTGGGGGAGCAGACTCGATCGCCGCAGCTGCATTTGATACAAGTGATCTGATAAAAACGACAGTCGGCTCCACACTATACATTTAGCTCTGCTTGTCCGGAGCAGGGCTAAATGTACCAAAAAAACTACTCGCCCGGCGCCGGAAACTGCATGTCCCGGGCTTCGGGCGATAGGAATTCCACACCCCTGTACTCTCATTCTAACGTGCGGAAGGCAAGCAGATAAGCAAAGTATAGAGGTTGGTCTAAGCACACCAGAGAAGAGCAAAGAGCTCATCATTATTGTGCCGCTCTCCAGTCCTTGGAGAACAAAGTGCTTCCTGCCCAGACAAATATTTCACATTCTAACTCCTCAGTCCAGAGCACCTGCTGCCATTTTTCTGTACCCCAGTTCCTATGTTTTTGTGCACAGTTGAGTCGCTTAGCCTTGTTTCAGCATCACAGGTATGGCTTTTTTGCCGCAGAAAAATGGCAGCAGGTGTTCTGGACTGAGGAGTCAAAATTTGACCTTTTTGGCTGTAGCAGGAGGCAGTTTGTTCACCGAAGGACTGGAGAGCGGCACAATGAGTATTTGCAGCAACAGTGAAGCATTCTGTGTGTCAGTTGTTTCTGTGAGAACAAATATATTTTTTATTTTACTTTATTTCTTGTTTTCTACTTCCTGGTCCTCATTGGGCATTAGTGATGTAATGTGGCCAAGTGTTGCATCCTGGAAAGGTTACATCAGCAGAGCATTGCTGAGAGTACAAGTCTGGGGCTGCAGTTCTGCCAATGGAGTTGGAGATTTGGTCAGGATCAAAGGTGTCCTCAATGCTGAGACATACAAGGAGATACTTATCCATCATGCCATATCAGGGAGGCGTGCGATTTGCCCCAAATTTATTCTGCAGCAGGACAACGACCCCAAACATACAGCCAATGTCATTAAGAACTATTTTCAGTGGAAAGATGAACAAGGAGTCCTGGAAGTGATGGTTCAGCCCCCACAGAGCCCTGAACTCATCATCATGGAGTCTGTCTGGGATTACATGAAGGCTGGGTTCACACCTAGGCGTATTACGTATGCACGTCTGTCGCGTGACCGTCACACGGTTTTTATCGCGGTAAAAAAAAAAATTGCACGACCGTCGTGCGATTCCGAAGGCTACTTGGCTGTATCCCAATGGAAAACGCCCTCCAAAACGGCCCAAAGAAGTACATGTACTTGTTTGGGCGTCAGCCGTTTTGTAGGGCGTTCAGACGGGCGGAAATACGGAAAGGTGTGAACCATACCCATAGAAAACAATGGGATTTTCATGGTTGTACATTTTGTAGAGCGTTCATAGAGCGTTGAACGCCCGACAAAACGTAAAAGGTGTGAACGGGGCCGAAGAGACAGAAGGATTTGAGGCAGCCGACATCCACAGAAGATCTGTGCTTAGTTCTCCAAGATGTACCCAGAACAACCTACCTGCAGAGGTCCTTCAAACACTGTGTGCAAGAGTACCTAGAAGAATCAATGCTGTTTTGAAGGCGGGGTGGGGTGTCACATCAAATATTGATGTTTCTCTTCCTGTTCCATTTTGTTAATTGATAAAATTAAACTTAACCATTTCTGAAACCACTCACCAGCAAATTTTTTTTTTTTTTTTTTACACCTGCCCAAACCTTTTGCACAGTACTGTTCACCCAGAGCAGATTTTCTTTTTGACTTCATTTTTTGTTTAGAGTTTAAAATCTGAACTCCAGACCAAAAAAAAAATAAAAAAGTATCGGTAGCCACAAAATGACAAGTTCACTTTGCGTGCACCAAATTCCTTTACAAACCAATATATGGCATCTCTGTGCTGCACATAGGGAGCAGCGCTGTGGGAGGGGCCTAGCAGACTGCACCCACTACAGTCAGCCCACAGAAAACTACAGGAGGGAGGCGGAGACCAGACCGGTCACCCTGCACAATGAAATCAGCAGTGACTGGTCTGTATTACAGGAAGCTCCAAGAGCCATACTGAATCACTGCACAGATCCGGAATACACAAAGCTCACCAAGATTCACAGAAGAACACACATGACCATTGTATGTAGACAATGCACCCATTGGGGAGCTCAGCATTAGGATTCCAGTCCCCAGAGCTGGCAGTGGGGGACCGGCAGATCACATTCTTGCTAGGTATAAAGGGCACATCACTCACAGTCGGTAGCACTGACAACCCATGACGCCGGCTTGGGCTCAGCCCGTAAAGAGCACACACAAATCCCACCGAGCTGCCTGTCCGCTGCACAGCGCACACTTACTATCGCCCTCCGCCGTCTTACCTGCTGATTTCCAGTGGCTAGCCGCCCTCCGCTATTTATAATTCGCCGCCGGTGTGGCGTGGACGCTGCACTCCGCTATGCTCCGATTCTGATGTTTGAATTTGGACAGTTCGAAGAAGATATCCAATCAGAATAGGAATCTGCTGACACGTGATCACGCATGTACGAATGAGCCAATTAGATGTCAGAAGGGAGTGCGAACGCGCCTGATGACGTCAACGCTGCTCCCGAACGGGGACGCGCTCAGGGATCGCTCCGCGCATGTGTGTTTGCCGCGCCGTTCGTGTTTACATTTTTTTTTCACTTAGTAGCAGTTATTTTCACACTGTACTATCCCAGACTAATAGACCTATGTAGTAGTTACATTATATTGCTGATTAGCAGTTTCCCAGATTTTAAACTACTGACAAAAGCCCTGACCAATCAGCGTGCTCACTTCCCTCCTGTCCCGTCACTGTCAATAGCTCACGCCCACAGGACTACACCTCCCAGCATGCTCTGCGGCCAAGGCGGAAGTACGTGTCAGCGGCCAGCTTTCCCCTGTCTGTCATGGAGAGCCCAGCTGTTACTTTCACCTTAGCTTACGTGGTGTTCGCGGTGTGCTTCGTGTTTACCCCCAATGAGTTCCACTCGGCCGGGATCACCGTGCAGAACCTGCTGTCCGGCTGGCTGGGCAGTGAGGACCTGTCCTTCATACACTACCACATCAGGAGGACCACTGCCACCGTGCTGGTGCATTCCCTGCTGCCACTGGGTGAGCTGCTGCCTGACTGTACATGTCACCCGGACCATCTGCCATCAGTTCTATCAAAGAGGACCTGTCATCACTGAGCCTTACCGGTGATATACACAACAATAACAACCATCATCCTCTTCTGAGAAGTTGCGATGGCATGTGCTGGCGGACGGAAGTCCCCTCCGATGACCACACAGGGGTAGCCAAACTTTGAGCCTCCATCTGTTGTGAGATTACAAGTCCCATCATGCATCTGCCTCTGGGAGTCATCTCTGTGGCTGTTAAGAGTCTTGCAATGCCTTATGGGACTTGTAGTACCACAACAGCTGCAGGGGCAAAGTCTGGCTACCACTTATCTAGAACATAAAGTGGTAAAGTATCTGAGTTTGCAGAGGGGAGGAGTGACCTCAAGATGGAGCAGCACAATGGCGGATTATCTCTGAAGAGGGGTGCAATGTAATCGTCATCAATCGCATCATAATGTGTTATTTTTTTAGTATGGTTATTTGATGACAGGTTCACTTTAAAAGTCTATCTCATGGATGAGATGGTGTTGCAACCAGGGCAGAGGCAGTAGGGGTACATGCCTTGGACATTGTGGTGTGTGTGTGCGTGTGCGCGCGCGCGTGTGTGTGTAGGGGGGGTGGTTAGGATCCTTACTTGTCTCTGCATTGAATCTGTGCAGGAACCAGATGCCACATTTATAGGTCCTGCACATTACACAGCAAGATCAACGGCTCTCCCTGTGTAACCAGTGGCAAGGTGTTCCACTGTCAGTATGACAGCCACCTGCCCTGTATCAGGTCCTGATGTTGGAGAGCTGCAACCAGGCTCATCAGCAGAGAGAAGAGGCTTCAGAGGTCTTACAAAGAGGAGAAAGCATTCAGGAGCGAGAAATTAGGTAAGGATTTCACCTTATTCCTATCAGCCTAGAATGGAAAAACATGTGAAAGCAGAACTATGGGGGCGAGTGAAATGCACTCACCCCCATAGTTAGAGCCGACGTGTGACATTGAAGCTGTTTCATGCCGGCTCTATTGAGCGATCACATACCACTGATTGCTGAGTTCGCTCAGTCACCACTCCCAGCAGGGATTCCCCTCTCCGTTTCTCCAGCACTTATTGGAGGGACAGACAGAGGAGGGGGCGGGCACAGCTTGCTCTGGCTCTAGAGCGGCAGAGCCAGCTGTCAATCAGGCAGAGGGGTGGATCCAGACAATATTGTCGGGATCTTTCCCGGCTGCAGCACAGCTTAGGGTCATAGGAAGAGATTAGCAAATGTCCTCTTGTGACCTAAAAGAGAACGAATGCCAAAAAGGTTTGGCCATAGTTCTGTTTTAACCCTTGCAGAGCCCCAATGCAAGGGTACTTTTTTCCACCCTGGAGTTCAGCTCTAAAGCCTTTATGACATTTCAGTGATTGGGTTTAAATCTGCTTTAATTTTGCTAGTTGCTTGATGTCTACATTTCTCTCTGTAGTCCATTGAGAGACACAGCTCTGGATAATTCGAGACATAAGGTGCCTCCAGCAGGCAGCGGCATAACCCTACATCTTGAATTATCCAGAGCCGTGTCCCTCAGTGGATTCTGAGAAAAGGATTTTTACGATAAGAACAAAATCCTATTATTTTTTTTTCTTGCGAGGTTCAAAAAGTCATTGCTGAGTATTAACATGGCGTCTTTACTTTGTGTAGGTTACTATGTAGGAATGTGTTTTGCGGCCCCGGAAAATAATCTGTATTACGTCTACACGGCCAGCGAAGGCTGGAAAGCGTTTGCGTTGATGGCGGTTGCCCTTCCCACCTTGATGAGCCTCCTCGCCCTGTACTGGTCACAGAAGAGATGGAGCAATCACCCTCTAGCGAGGACCCTGGCACATCACGCCCTTCCCCGCTCAGGCTGGAGAGTCGTGGCCTCTTCCATTAACACAGAATTCCGGAGGATCGATAAGTTCGCCACAGGGGTGCCCGGAGCGCGGGTGATTGTGACGGACACCTGGGTGATGAAAGTGACCACTTACAGGGTGTATGTGGCCCAGCAACAAGATATTCATCTTACTGTGACAGAGTCCAGGCAGCATGAACTCACCCCAGACTCCAACACCCCCATCCAGTTCATCACAATACGGGTGGCCAGCATCAACCCCAACGTTCGGCCCTTTGATATCAGGTGATGCATGAGTTTATTTTTTACTGCTTTTTAAGATGCTGCCAGCTTGAATACGGACTGGTTTGGCTTCGTTCTAGTTCTCTGACAAGAATGGTTACCTTAAGACCCCATTCACACTGAGCTGTTTCAGCGCTGATTTGAGCTGAACGACATTGAGCTACAGTGCACATTTTGGCAGTCTATCAAAGTCTATTTGCGCCAAATCGCACAAAATCCGCTGGAAAAATAGGTCAAGCTTGAGCTACAAGCTACAGGCGACATTGAGCTGTGAGATGTGAACAGCTCCATTGAAATACAATGAACGATTTTTGAGGGGAAATCGCGCTACAAACCGCTCAGTGTGAAGTGGGTCTAATGCTAAGTTCACACCTAGGCGACTCCTGTTTTGTGCACAATTGCCGCGCGGTCGGGAGTCGCCAAGGTGTGAACCCATCGCGCTGTGGGTGCCATTATTTTCTAGTGGCGCCGGGCGGATCGCGCGGTTTCTCGCCGTGAGTCGCGAAAAAAGATACTTGTACCTTCTTTTAGTGATTGCTGCGAGGCTGTCACCCCATTGAAATCAATTGGGCAGCTGTGTACAGCACATGATCGCGCGGCCCGGGTGTAGTGCAGATGTGAACATAGCCTGAGGGCCGGTGCACGCCTAGGCGATTTATTGCGCGGTTTGCTTTGCGCGATATCGCGCAAAACACAGATTTCCATTGAAGTCAATGGAGGCTGTTCACAACTTTGCGGTTTGTCGCCGATTCCGAAACACGATACAGCCGCGCGTCGTGTATTGAATAAAGAAGGTACTTGTAAATTTTTTCTGTGATTGCCGCGCGGATGTCACCTCATTGAAATCAATGGGGCCGTGTGGCAAGCGCTGCCTGCATTGCATCCTGGGTGTCGCGTCCTGGGTGTCGTGCGGTGTAGTGCAGATATGAACCTAGCCTTAAGTGTATGTACACCCCAACATACACTTACTCTCTTATTTGGACCCTTTGGTCTGTTAAGTATACAATTGAAAGCATTATATCTGTTTGATAAAAGAAAAAAAACCTTTTGATCATGTCAGCGAATCCCTTCTTGCATTCTCTGCCTGTGTTGCATTCTTACCAGTTACATTTTTCAGCCATCTTTGAGGACTACAGAACCCTGCCCATGTTATGCAGAAAAGGACAGGAGGAGGCCTTTGTAGTCCTCCCCCGGGTTGACAGCTAGGGATGAGCTCAGGTTCAGAGTGAACCCAGCTCCCCTGTCCATGTAAGTGCCATTGGGCCACCTGCCCAATCATCTGCAGGCCTTACTCCACCCCGCAGCTGAACATAAACAAGGGGGCGGGATGCTTGTGCTGATGTCATTGACCTTATAAGGCCATATTAGGTGAATGTCATTAACCAAATAAATCATATAAGGGCCAGTGGGTTCACCGCATACTGCTCCTTTTCCTAGGTGCAGCTGTGAGTGGGGAATTCCCTGGCTGCAGCTGACTGGGCAGCAGCAGAAGGAGCCTTCATCTGTGTTCGGGGAGCTCAGGTTCTGTCCATACCTGAGCTCATCCTAAAGGCAATCATGGCTTCCTCTGTAGATACAGAGGAGTTAGGGAGCATTGTCACCCTAGTGTGTTAGGGTGGTGTGTTACTGGAAGAATCACCAAGCGAGAAGAAAACTAATACAACCACCAAATCTAGGGACTTGGAGCTGTAATATACACTGAGTGGCCAGATTATTATGACCACCTGATGTTTGTAGGCTAATTAGCTATAATTTTGCGCTGAAGTTGCTAGAGGGCCAGACCATTATAAATAGGGAAGCAGGTTGTTTACCACGACAGTAGAAGTGATTTGTTTCTGAAGATATGGGGAAACAACGCCATTTAACAGCCTTTGAACGTGGGATGATTGTTGGCGCTCGGAGCCATGGAGCGAGTATCAGCAAAACAGCAGAATTCTGTAAATGTTCAAGAGGGGCTCATTGTTAAAGTGTTTAAAGACTGGACTGTCAGCCGAAAATCTGGGTCTGAACGTGCAAATTGTGGCCGTCAGCGACAAGTCAATGTTAAGGCAGAACGGAGAGTGGCAAGACTGGTACAAGACAACAGAAGGGCAACAGTGCAGTGTCAGATTCCTCGCATCACCTTTCAACATCTCGTGGAGTCATCTCGTGGCCCAACGAAGTACTGATGGGGTGGTCATAATAGTCTGGCCACTCAGTGTATTACAGCTTGTGTTTTGGGTTTAGATTCATTTGAAATCTCATAGGAGCCCCAAGTGTGTAATGAAAAACAAACCGCCGGTGGAATCATCCAAACCTGATTGTACTTGCTAGTCATGTACAGTGCAGCTCACATCTGTACCAGGAGCGCAATATGGAAGTCTTAAGTTGTGTTGTAATATTTATTTGGCATCCTGTCCCGTGTATCAGCCTTGTGGTTTCTACATAATATAGAATAAACGTGATTGTTAAATGCAGCTGGAAGAGAAGTCACAAATATTAGACCCCGTTCGGCCGCACGGATCCCCCGACATGAACGATCCCATACATTGCTATGAGGACCATTCATGCGGCTGCGTGGGTCTGTGTGATCTGGACTGCTCCTTGCACTATATTTTTGCCGCGCTGATAAGAGTGGTTTCCATACAGCTTTCAATGGAACTGCACTGATCAGCGTGGTTTTGGGCATTTTTAATTGCGCTCAAGTGCAATTAAAAACTCCCAAAACCTCCCTTTTGAGATCAGGGTGGTAACCGCGCTGATCCGTACCTGCCCTGGTGTGAATGGGCTCCTTTTGGCATTTGTGAAGGGTTGGAGAGGCCAACAACCTTTGGGGGTAATGGGAGCTGACTGGTGATTTCACCAAATGCAAACTTAAAGAAGAACTCTGGGCAAAAGTTTAGTGAACCCTTTAAGTGGGGCTACCCCTGCACTGCAAGGGTTAACTGCTCATTTTCGTTTAGGAGGACAATTAAAGAAATTATACTCGCCAAATCCTCTGAGCCAGCTTGCTCTTAGACCAGTCTTTTCAGCCTTGCTCCCTCACCAGTCTAAGGTTCCTGGGTCATCATATTCTATACTCAATGTATGAGGACTCAGAGGGACATACCATTGCTGCAGCCAGCCAGCTTGGGGGATTACTAGAAGAAAACGAGCAGTTAACCCTTGCAGTGAATGGGGTAGCTCCACTGCAAGGGTTAATAAAAAATTTGCCCTGAGTTCTTCTTTAAAACCGAAACATCATCTTGGGGTGAAGTTGCCATTTTTGCAATATTGAGGTTTTCCATCTTCCTTTCGGTTCAGAGAAACTAACTGTCTCCTTGTGTGCTTGCAGATTAAACTCTACAGAATATGGTGAGCTGAAGGAGAAGCTCCACGCCCCCATCCGAAATGCGGCCAATGTTGTCATCCATCAAACACTGAGCGACTTGTTCCTGGAGACCTTCAGATCTCTCGTAGAAGCCAATAGTTTCTATCAGCTGCCCAGCAGTCAGGTTAGTTAATATCCCAAAAATGTTGATCTAGCCAATTCATTCAGAAAGGGACTGTAAAGCCTCTGGAGCAATGAAGGGGCTGGGTAGTATGGCGTGCGCATTGCTGATATTAACCCTGAATACTTGCATCTCTACAATATAACCCTTTGAAGCTGCATCAGCTATCGTGAGCCCACCTGCATTTTGTGTCTGAACGACCTCCATTATACATCAATTACTTCTTCCCCTGAAGGCTTTCTCTGCCATCAATCATTTTGTTCCTGAGCTTTGTGCGAAACAACACATCCCTGGCATCTCTTTAGACGTGCATCTGCAACTGACCAGCAGACTGGACAGCTAAAGTCTGTAGCAACCAGCAAGGAAAAGCAGGCACATCTAAATCCCGGGTATGTGTTCTTTCATATAACGCTCTGGAGAGAAGATCTGAGGCAGGAAGCTTTGACATTTACAGGAGCCTGCCTGCTCCTCCCAGCAAACTCGACGCAAAGAGCAGCACACAGGCCTAGTGATGACATCATTGGGTCTGTAAGAGCTATTTCTTGAAAACAAAATGATTTGGGGTAGTATATGCTTATGCTATTGCCCATCTGCTCTAGCCATTTGTTAAGTTGCCTCCTTCTTCCACAGGATTGTTTTCAACCTCATGTAGTGACTTTCTGAAGCCAGCATTAGGCATAAAGCAGGATATCCTTATTAATGTTGTGGGTATCACAAGACCCGACCATCCATGGCAATTCATAGGAAAGTCAGCATGTTGTTGGAAGCACCTGCTCATTGTAGAAAGGAAATGAGTCTGAATATTCTACAAGCTGTACACGTCTGTTTGCATTCCTCGGCTTTGTCCTTTATGGCCCCAGGCAGTAATAGGAGTACACTGTCCCACCAGAACACATGATCTAAAGCCATTGTAGTTCTATGTGTCTGTCATCATTTTGTTTAGTGTGGCCAAAATGACCACACTAAAATGACAAAAATTAGAATAAAAAGGTAATAGCTAAGGGGAGGAGGGAGTTCTTAAGGCTTATTAGAGTTAACAAAGGATAAATAAGAAGTTAAATGGGAATACATTTTTATAGGGGAACAAACAATTAACTTGTGAGGTTTCTTTAAAGTGTATTTTACAGTCAGATTTGATTTGTGAAAAACACACAGCATAACGAAAAATTATTTTGAAACAAAAAAATATTTCTTACCATTTTTAGATGTCCGTGTAGCCATGAGAGCTTCTCTCTACAATTTGAAAGTGATAAGAAACTGTCTGTCCCAATGGAAAGACTAGGGACAGGCTGAGCTTCCTCTTCTTAACATACAAGGCCTTTGATCTATAAAGTGACACTAAACTCAGGAGTTAAACCATAAAAATACATTCAAGTACCTTCACTATTAACAAAAATGTATCTTATTTGTGTATCACTCAGCTGAAGATCCAAATCATCTCTGAATTGGTGCGGACACTGTCCTTCCTTCTGGAGGGGGGCTACGTTTGTTCCCCATGGTCCCTGTGTGTGTTGTAAAGTAGTCACCGCTCCAAGCTCGCTCCTGGGATGGACTACAATCTCAATACAAATTAGTACACTAAACATAAGATTATAGTCCATCACGGGAGTGAGCTTGGAGCGGTGACTACTTTACAACACACACCGGGACCATGGGGAACAAAAGTAGCCCCCCTCCAGAAGGAAGGACAGTGTCATCACCAATTCAGAGATGATTTGGATCTACAGCCGAGTGATACACAAATAAGATACATTTTTGTTCATAGTTAGGGTACTTGAATGTATTTTAACATTTTAACTCCTGAGGTTAGTGTCACTTTGACCCTTTGTTAGGGATGAACAGTGTTCACATCCTGTTTACAACTGATAATGAGATCTGCCAGCACAGCACAGTACAGACAGGGTTAATTATGGTAACCTCCCAGCCCCCCTTGCATTCCAGAATTAAATTCAGTGTAAGGAAAAACCTTTTCTTTCAGGAAAGAGCAAGTAAAATGGTAAACAGCATTTTTTTATTTTGAATTATGCAACATGAATAGGAACATATAACAAATATAAAGTAGATGTTATCCCAATGTGGTTGCAAAAGTGGAACAGTGATGTCATTGTATATAGTGTTTCATCCATACAAATCCTAAGTAGGTATAGAGCAGGGGTGTCCAAACCTTTTTCAAAGAGAGCCAGATTTGATGAAGTGAACATGCGTGAGTGCCGACCATTTCGCCTGGCATTCTTTGAACCATTAAAATTACATGCAAATTAACTATTTATGCAAAGTTTATTGCAAACGGCATACTTTTCATGTTGTCACATGGATGACAAATCCAGACAGGTGTTAAATCACTCTGCCTTTCAGGGGCGTCCCGAGGCTGAGTGACACCCGGAGCGGTGACCGAGTGTCACCCCGCCGAGACTTCACTGCGCATGACGTCACCGTGCGCGATGCCGTCATCGCGCACGCGCGGCAGTATTCCGATACCTGCCGGCGGCCATCTTGGTGATGGACGCCAGCAGGGAGAGGAGGGGGACAGTCACCCGGCTAGATAAGGTATGCCGCCGGGTCCCCTCCTCTCTCCTGATACTGTCGGGCGTTCGGTCCATGACCGAGCGCCCGACTTTTCAGAGGGGGGTGACACCAAAATGACTGAGTCATTTTGGTGTCACCCCTCCAATGGTGGCATGCGGATGTGGGCCACACCCCCCTTGTGACGCCACTGCTGCCTTTTCATATCTGAAGGCCAGATGGAAAAAAAAATCCAGGAAGCTGAAACATATGTCAGGAACATTGTAAAGTACATGACATATTATTGGTAATAAAGGTTGTCTGTCAACTTTTACGTTTAAAAAAATATGAACAGGAACATAACGCCAAGTATACACTTTGTGTCCAAATATATTTATAACTGATTTAGACCAACTGACATTAACTGACATTTTACAATGTATTCATCTCAATTGGAAAAAAAAAACTTGCCTGCACTAATGTGAAGGGTGAAACTGAGATCTGGACTGCAGCACATAGGCTAGGTCTGGTACAAAGGGTGTGGTTTTAATGCGCAAAATGTCACGCAGGTGAGTAATTTAGTCTTGTCCGCACGCGCAGAGGGAAGGAACGCACCAAATCCCACGACGTCCGAGAGATCGCGAGAATGCCGACTGACGACGTGCAGTTCCACAGCGTTCAGAGATCCCAGGGGTCCTGAGCGGCGCTCGGGGATTCACTGGGGGCCACAACAGATAGATTTTGCCAAATTACCTGTGGGGCCATATTAAACCGGAGCACGGGCCGCCATTGGCCCGCGGGCCGGACTTTGGACATGAGGCATTCACGGGTCTTGCAGAAGAGATAAGGCAAAGCACCAGCATTTTATTGTCAGTGTTTCAACTGGGCTCAGTCCATCTTTTTTTTTAAAGTCTTCCTAAAGATGAACTGAACGCAATCGAAATGTTGACATTAAAATTCTGATGATTTGACTTATCTCTTCTGCGTGTATAAGGCTCTTCTGTGAATGCCTCTATACCTACTTAGGATATGTATGGATATTTTTGTGGATAACCCCCTGGCCTTTTACCTAAAGCTGGCTATACACTATATGATTCCAGCCGGTTGGTGATAAACCAGACGAAATTCGCACAGTAGGTGCCGCTGTCGGCACCCTTTTGGCTGGCATCCCTCGATCAGCTGATCAAAGGAGCCTGTCAGAAAATCTGCAAACGAACAGAGCCAGCAGCCAATGAGCTCTGTTTAGGTAAACGGACAGTTGTCAGCGGCTGCCGTCAGAATACAATGCAAACCGCAAGAGATTCCTCGATCAACGTTTGTAAGCGTTGATGGAGGAATCTGTAATGTTTTTCGTTTAGCCCCGGGATGAACGAAGAAAATATTAGTGTGCGGCCAGCTTTACAAATATAGTGCGATGGCTACCCCTGGGAGTGTTTCATTCATATGTAGATCACCTTTGATATGAATAAAATGGAAAAGACAATGAAACAATACATTGTCATTTCGTATGTACTCATTGATACTTGCAGACTGTCTGCGCAGGAGAAGCTGTATTTTGACAGTGGCTCCTGCTGTGTAATGATACGTTACTGATGCATCCTAAAAAATTTGAAATATTTAGGACATAACGCTACTATTCTAAATAGAAAATGAACATCTCTGCATGTGCTTAAAATGTGCTCCTTAACACTTCTAAGTTCTGAGGTTGAACTTCATCTCTAAAGAAGTGTTTGCAGGCACGGCACAAGAGAACAGAGTAGGGATGCACCAATACCGGTATTTCGGTATCGAGTACCGATATTTTTTTTCCCCGATACCGAATACCAATACCGGAAATCCCATTAAGAAACCAGGCTGCGCGTAATGACTCGCCACCTGGCTTCCTGATTAGCCGGGAAACCAGGCGGCGTGTAAAGTCTCGCTACCTAGCTTCCCGATCAGCAGGGAAGCCGTCCCCATGCTTCTCATCACTAGGTGACGAGAAGGCATGGAGCCAGCTTTCTGGTCAATCAGGAAGCCGGGCAGTGAGTCATTACACGCTGCCCTGCTTCCTGCTTGGCCGGGAAGCCTGCTCCCTCGTCACAAGTGACGAGAGGGCATGGAGCCGGCTTCCCGGCGAAGCAGGGCAGCGTGTAATGACTCACTGCCCGGCTTCCTGATACTGAAAGTACTCGCCCAAATACTCTGCACCGATACTAGTATCGGTATCGGTGCATCCCTAGAACAGAGGTTGATAGTCACTTTTTTTGGTCACACAGCCATTCGAAATTACAACTGTTGCTTTGGTCACGAAACAGACCAAAAGATTAATTATTATAATACAGGATTTATATAGTGCCAACAGTTTGCGCAGCACTTAAAAATATAAAGGAAGACAGTACAGTTACAATACGATGCAAACATATTTCACATGTGAGCTGCTGATTTTAGCCACAATTGCACAAATAAAGGTTTCCCAAAGGCTTTTTAAGCTTTTTAAGCTGACTATTAACACTAGATGGCAGTTGACATGCAGGTATCTGATTGATCTCGGGGATCTGAACCAGCCAGTCCCTCTTGGGCCACAAACAGTTTCATGAGGCACATGGAGCAAGGTTGGGTCGATGTGATGTAGAAACCTCCAGCACTGACTTATCGAGGTGAAACAGCTGTGATTGTACGAGATTTTCTAACTTTTCAGATTGCTGTTTTCCCAGATGAACTAGGCCAGGGTTGTCTGCAAATGCCCCATATACATTAGGCCAGAAATGGCTGAATCAGAGATTAGAATATAATGTTTATTGCCACTGTTCTGTCAAACTCCAATTTCTCGATCTCCAACAACGTCACATCCGGTTGACTTGCCAGTAAGCAGTTTAGGTGAGCTGGCTCTAGTGCGCATACGCCACCCGCGGCATGTTCCTAATTTTCATCAAGCTCGACAATGCTTTTCAGTATTCTAATCAACTAAGATGAGACTAATCTGTTATTAATATGAGTTGGCCCAAACAATATGGCCACCAGAGTCAGGCAAGCGTCCTCCCGCGCAGGAAACAGAATTGGAGAACTCAATAATGGCTTCCGTGCAGGTACAGTGAAGAGCATTGTCGAACTTGATGAGAATTAGGAAAATGTCGCGAGTGGCGCATGCACACTCGAGACAACTCATCCAAAACGCTTACTGGCAAGTCAACCGGACGTGACGTTGTTGGAGATCTGGAGAAATTGGAGTTTGACAGATTACCACCTTTTGGCTTGATAGATACTACTTCCTGTTCCACATTAATGTAGATAAATGTACATAGTTATGTGTACATGACTTGCTTACATTGTTCTTCACAGGAGTTGGAGCCCTGTATTGGCTGCATGCAGACCAGCGCCAACATCAAGCTTGTCAAGAATTGCCACGAGCCCAATGACGGAGAGTGCCAGCAGTGTTACTGTCGACCCATGTGGTGCCTTACCTGCATGGGCAAGTGGTTTGCCAGTCGGCAGGATCAGCAGCATCCGGAGACCTGGCTGTCCAGCCAAGTGCCTTGTCCTACGTGCCGGGCCAAGTTCTGTATTGTGGATGTGTGCATTGTACGGTGAATCTACTGGCCATTCTAGATTTAGACTTAAGACTTTTTCTATAGCCTAAAGTGTTTTACTATTTTCCTAAACCTGGGAAAGGTGGGTCCTGGGGCTCTGAATATGACCATGTAGCGCTTGTATTATGCCATGCCACAGAACCAGACCAAAGCAGCATTATGGATATTTCTTTTAGCAGTCCCTGGAGCCATGTTGGCTAAAAGTAACTGGTGGTGGTGGTAATGTCTGAAAGTCAACCCATAATGACTTGGTTTGTTTTGGCTTTTTTTTCTAAAGGTGAGAACTTGGGTGTTGGGTCACACACAGGTTTCAGACACCCTCAAGTGGTGAGATCTCAATGCCGGACCTCCTGCCCCTCTTTCCTCTAGGGCCTGGGCATGCCCTACTGTGCCAAGAAATAGAATACTGACTGTCTGAGGGGCAAAACCTGGAATTGCAACCATAAAATGTCACCACTGTAGTCCTGGAGAAATAAGTGACTAAAACACTGTATTCAAATTTTAGTTCTTGGTGGACGTTTACTTTTTAAAGGGGAACTTCCACAGAGGGTAACAATTGCGGTTTTAGAATTGCCTTTCTGAGTTAACATTAGTTCCCTCATAGGTGAGTGTGGGCCTCTAGTAGGGCAGTGTCATCTGGCAGTTTTTGCTCACACAGCAGTATTATACCACAGCCAGCCTCCATGTGCTGCTACAGGCCAAGGAGCCTAATGGAGCATTGAGCACTGCACCCGTATTAGGCACATTCAAATCTTCATATTGTATTTGTGACTTTGTTTTGCCCGAAGTTCTCTTTAGGGTTTCTACACTCATTTATATCATGGGAAAGTTTTTACCTTGGTTTGTTCATGCTTGCAGTATAAATAGCTGGTAGATTCATATGTAAAAATGAGACCTACCCCAAAAATAAGACCTAGTACTATTTTTGGGAATTGCAAAAATAAGACCTACCCTGAAAATAAGACCTATATGTGACCATTCCCAGGGCCGGTGGTGGCATAAGGGGGAACTTGAAGAGCCGCGGGAGTGGCAGGAGAGAATCAGCGGGGCACACACAGACAGCGCTAGAGGAAGTGAGGCGGCACCGGAGGGAGCAGAGCCGCATAAGCCGATGCCTCCTCTATAGCACCGGCTCCTGTCACAGGCGGAGTGATACCAAAGGCACTCCGCCTGTGAGGAATCGATAGTGAAAGCGCGCTTCGCTCATTCTGGCCAGCGATTGGTTAGCAAATTGCTCTTGGAAAGGTACGGCACCCCTGATCACCATATTTTTGTACATGAATACATGTAGACTTTTCTACATGAATAAGTGTGGATTGTTGTATATTTAAAAAAAAGACCTACCCCGGAAATAAGACCTAGTGTGTTTTTTTTTTTTTAGCCAATAAAAATATAAGACAGTGTCTTATTTTTGGGGAAACACGGTATTTCCACAATCTTTTATTGGGATCTGATGTGATCTTCATTGAGTAGCAGCAAAGATGCAGGAATAGATAACATGAATAGCGCACCCTTGTGCGGGATCCCTGTCCCTCATACCTGATCGATATGGAATATTTCTATTTCTATAAAGCACACGTCTTCAGTATAGCTTGGAAGTATGTGGGGAAAAAGGGAGGAAATATACCAAGCATAAGAGGGAGGCTGCTGTATTTTATGTTATAAAAGAAAACAAGGTGTTTTTAGAGTATACTGATCCAAAGGCATGCTGGGGATCATTTCCTTCTTAAAATTCTGTATTAGCAGAGCCCTGAATCTGCAGAAAACTTCATAGGGAAATAAAAAGAAATGTGCCTTGGAAAAAGATCTTTTATCCCATTCTTCCCCCCCAGAGGACTGTGGAAAATGTGAAAGTTTTTATCTGCGCAAACTTGTCTTTTTTTTTTTTTAGGTATATTGAAGGATCTTACAAATGAAGGATTTAGATTTCATATTGTCAGATCCTGACACATCAGCGGGGGTTTCAGGGACAGTTGCTGCCTGTCAACCACCTAAGCTCACACACTGCACCCTCAAAACATAGCGAACAGTTGGTCTTATTCAATCAGAACCAATAAGAATGCACATGAAATAACCAGACCTGTACAAGTTCAGTACTAGTTGGTTTCTATGGGCTCTTGCAGTAAAAAAAAAAAATGATAGATAAGAATGCTTTATTGCAGGGGTCCCCAAATGTTTTAAACAAAGGATCAGTTCACTGTACTACAGACTATTTGGGGACCAGACTGTGGTCAGTAGAAATAGAAAACAGCATTGGTGGGTCAGCGATGGTAAAAAAAAAAAAAAAAGTCACTGTATTAGTGGCCAGCGGTATACAACATGCCCCAACATCAGTGGTGAGTAAAAAAAGCACTCCTGTATCTGTGAAAGTAAATAAAAGTCCCTGCGTCCATGAAAGAAAGACCCTTGCTTGTTACAATGCAGAGTGTTCCAGCACCCAGCCCCTGCTGCCACTCTGCACACAGCACCTCCCCCACTGTGACTTGCAATGTGAAAGCCCTGAAAGGTATAATTGCAGGACTTTTTAATTGCAGAGGTCGGTCTAAGGCAACCAGCGGGCCTTACTTTGGGGCCATTGCTTATTTGATTGCGGCAAAGTGTGTGAGGTGAGGCAGTTAATAGTCCAGCAATTGTATGCGTTCTGGTGACCTCTGACCCTCTGCCTCAACAAAGGTTAATTTTAACCTTCACAGCTTTCTTATAAAATGATGCTTCATAAATCTGTCCTTGTATTCTTGTATATCTACAGATCATTTTATACCTGTATTATTTTGTACGGTTTATGAGAGAGATGCTTTCTTTATTGTTAGCAAAACTGAGCCTTGAAAAACAACTGACATTTTGGTTACGGGTGCATGCTCCTGGGCTAATTTGTTGACGGGCTAGTTGGTTTCTATGCTACAGTGGGAGGAATGGTGCATCACTGGTCTTGTGTGGGTGGAATGGTGCCTCTGTGTGGGTGGGAGCAGCGGTGCCCCTGTGTCAGTGGAGGGGAATGGTGCCCGTGTCAGATTTTGAAGCACATACCACAGGAGCGCAGTGGTGTGAACTGTCACCATCCACTACAGTCCATGTACCCATTGTACTCCTGACTGCTGATCCATAGTAAAGAGATGGGTGCATCGGTAGTCGACGGATGACCACCGTCAAAATAGTACAATTATGGACAGCGGCACTCCAATAGTAGCATAACGTCTGTTTAATGACGTCCGTCCAAAAACATACTTATTGCATGACCATCCATGACGAGGCAAATTGCCTGGCAAAAAGGGCCACTGCAGCGCAAACGCAGATGGAGTGAATGAGCCCCGAAAGTTGAGGCATTCTGCCAGAGGTGTAACTGGTAACCTCGGGGCCCTGGAACAAGAAACCATGAAGGGCCCCTCCACCCCCCATAAAAAAAAAAAGACGGCACCTTGCCAGTTACCGGGATAGTACATGTGTGTAGTACCAGGAGGCAGGGCCACCAGTTGAAATCATTGGACCCCTGTGTGGATTGATTAATATTAATATTTATTTCTTCACTTTTTATCAATTTCTATTTTTTTATTTTTTTTACTACGTTTTTATTTCATTTTTTTTTACTTTTTATCAATTTAATTTTTGTTTTCACTTTTATTTATTTTATTATTTTTTTCCACTTAACTTTATTGCTATCACAATATGCTCTTTATGAGCCTGCCCTCAAATACAGAAGATAGAGCACATGTGTGCTCTATCTTCTGTACAGCTCAGGTTGAGACAGCTGAACCAGGAGTGCTGTGAGTATAGCAGTCCTGTGTCACTGATCACGGAGCAGAGAACGGAGGTTCTCTGCTTTGCTCCCCGCTCTCCATCCTGAACTGTCTTGCCGTGGTCTGGGGTACCCAGAAAAACAGGGGACCCTGAAAACCACGGCACAGAAGAAGGCAGCCGGTGGGGGACAACTCATAAGCAGGCTGCATACAAGTGGTTCCAGCAGCTGTATAGCCGCTAAAATTACTTGTACAAAATGGCTCCTCTACTTTACCTTTAGCCCTGCTTGCCCTAAGCAGGGCTAAATGCAGAAAAAAAAAATCCCTGCCCGTCGCCCCTTCAGACCGGCCCCTGTGGGTCAGGGAAAGTTTGCAGACTCATGGAGACATCAGAGACAGCTGCTCTAATTCAGTCCCTCGCCTCTGATAATTGGATGCTAGCACCTAGCATCCAACCAATAAGGAGGGACAGAATCCCCTTTACATCAGAGTATCCCCTTACATTAAAGTTCCTGGGACTCTAATGTAAGCGGGGATTCAGGAGACTCTGATGTAAGGTGGGATGGAATTGTACTGGGTAGAGGAGTTATTTGCTTCTAATGTGTATGCTGGCCTGTACGTTACTAATTCCTGACCCTGCGCTGATACACACTCCCAACCCCTGCACTCCATGCCTTACGCACTCTCAACCCCTGCACTCCATGCCTTACACACTTCTGACCCCTGCACTCCATGTAAGGCATGACCCCTGTACTTCTGACCCCTGTACTCCATGCCTTACACACTTCTGACCCCTGCACTCCATGCCTTACACACTTCTGACCCCTGCACTCTATGCCTTACACAGTCCTGACTCTGGCACTCAAAGCCTTATGTACTACTAACCCCTGCACTCCATATGTTAGGTACTCCTGGACCCTGCACTCCATGCATTGTGCATGCCTGACCCCTACACTGCATGAGTTATTTACTCCTGAGCTCTGTATTGTGTGCATTGGACACTCTTGACCTATAGCAGAGTAGACTCACCTATACCCTTTCAGACACTCGCACAATTCCCTGCACCCACAATTTGTTGCAGCACTCCACATTATTTCAATAACAGGGCAGGTGTCAAGGGCATTTTCTCTATATATCTTAAATATCGGCCTCTTGTTCCCAAAGTCTGTGACCAATTGTTTTAGGCTGTGCTAAAAAAAAAATGGGGTGTGATGTTGTGGGTGTGGCAATAAATGGGCTGTGTTTAAAAGTGGGCATAGTCAGTATGGTGACCACAGATTTTATTTTAAAAATATTGGAACCTAGTTTCAGCAGCCTTATGGTAGAAATAGAGTGCAAGCAGTGGGCTGGCTCTTGG